ACACTAGTGCATTGGTTGTAGGAGTATTCATTCTCTCAAATATAGCAACACCGTGTTCTCGCGGGTCATGACTTTACCCACTTCCACGATGGGCACTCAAAGTTCGCATAGCATCTGAACTCGTTGCTCAATCCTTTGGCGTGCTTGATCTCGTAATCCGTCGTCTTGGTTCCTACTTTCCCGTATAGTTTGTCTGTGACCAGGCTCTCCATACGCTCGCCAGTGCAGACAATGAGACGCAGAGAATCTTGCGTCCATGACTTCGCTAACCATCGCACGGTCAGGGCAGCTATGTCGTGTTAGCGACATCGAACCTACGGTTGTTGGAGACTCATCATGGAAATACCTTTAGTTTGACAATCTTGACTTAGAAATGGCGGGTCGCAAATGATGACATCGAACGAGGCCTTCATCTCAGCTGGTAGTTGGATCGCCTTCTCGAAGTCGTAGCGCACGAACTCCTTGAAGACGGCAAAGCGCTCGTCAAACTCCAGCAATTTAATCTGCGGCCGGCACTTGACTTCACCCGAATTCTAACAATGTTAGCTTTTCTCGTCTTGCGCTTCCAGAGTACTCACCAGTAGATTTTTCAGCTGGATGAAAGCACTCGGAGCAGACACGACTGCTATCCTTGTCTCATCTGTCGCACCATCCAGAAGCTGTCGCGCAAGCACCATAGCGGTCTCGTCGCTATACCAAAATTGACTTGCATTCCAGTCTTCCGTGAAGGCGTCCATGGACAACTTCCCTTCGAAGTCATCTTCAGCTTGGCCTTTTAGTTCCTCAAACTGCTTTTGTCGTGCATCCCGCTCGCCATAAAATTCTTTCAGCGCGGCAAGAGCATCGCCGGAGAGCTGTCTTCATTTGTTAGCATTTGGGCTGCGATCAGCTAGTAAGACTTACGGTATCTCATCGTCGTCTTCTATTGACGCCATATTGAGTTTGGCCCAAGGCAGGTTGCCGCACAGCGTACCTGAAAGGTGATAGATTGGATGAGTCGTATCCCACTATCGATAACAGTGTGCCTCGGCTGTGCTGGTCCAGCTGTAACCTGAGGTCAGAGCGACCATGCGCCCGCGATTGCGATGGCCGTCGGCTACCTCTAGCACACGCGCACTATACTCAAAGATGGCAGAATCTTTGGTATCGCTTCCAGAGGTTGAGCAGGTCAGCGATCGGGTTATCAGGGTCCTCGGCGGCAACCCCAGCAAGGTGAGCGCCGTTATTATCTAAGGAATGGCGCGATCTGACAAAGCTTAAGTTCACGCTGCAAGGTACATGCGGTAACAATCTTATGGTTAACATGTTCTGAGTCAACTAGGCACGAACACTTACATAGTTGGTCGTGGCGCATCACGACTGCTCATTGACACTGGCGAAGGCAAACCGCAGTGGATAGCGTCGATCAAGTCGCTCCTTTCAAAGGAAAATATCGCCATCGATAAAGTGCTATTGACGCATTGGCACCACGATCATATCCAAGGCGTCCCCGACCTACTCGCGCACTCTCCCGACACGAAGGTCTACAAGAACGATCCGCACGACGACTGGCTCGCGATAAGTGATGGGCAGAAGTTTGAGACGGAAGGCGCGACCCTACGTGCCTTCTTCTGCCCGGGACATACCACAGACCACACAGCTTTCGTGTTGGAGGAAGAAGATGCCATGTTCACGGCGGACAACGTATTGGGTCAGGGCACAGCCGTATTCGAAGATCTGGCAGCGTACATGAAGAGCCTCGACGCCATGTCGACGCAGTTTAGAGGTCGCGCATATCCTGGTCATGGGCCTGTCATCGAAGATGGTCCATCAAAAATCACTGAGTATACAAAACACCGCAAGCAGCGTGAGAAACAGGTGTTGGATGTACTTGCAGAGAGTCAAGTCATGGGTTCTATGGATATTGTAAAAGTAATCTACAAGGACTACCCAGAGAACCTGTGGGAACCGGCGGAGAGAGGGATACGCCAGATTCTCGACAAGCTTAAGCATGAAGGCAAGGTGGGCGGTGACAAACTGTGGGTACTTAGTGGGAAGAGTAGTCTTTAGATGTTCCAATGACACATAGTTTGACATGGCTAAATTCTGATAAGCGCCCAAGTGACTTAACTGCGCCCCACCACGCCCAAGTTCATGTACGATGACCCAAATCATTCCGCAGTGCGAACCTAGCACAATACGCTGTAATCATAGATGCATTGAATGCAAAATTCCTTATCAAACCATCAGTCGCGGTGCCAGAGTGGTTAATGGGTTAGACTTGAATTCTTCATTCAGTCATCTAATGGCTTCGGCCTCGCAAGGTACATATACCCAAACCACACATCAGAGCCCCATCTAACAGAGTCGAAAGTTCGAATCTTGTCCGCGACGTCGTGTTTAATGCCTGTAGAGAGTGGCATCTTTTTTGCGTGGTTGTGGTTGAGGTTGAGGGTGAAATGGTGGAGTTTTGGCGCCCCCCAACCAACCCAACTTTTTGCCCTGCGCAACCCAGAGCTTCCTCGCGACGCTGCAGAGTGCATACTGTTTATAACACAAGGAGCCTCTTCCACTGTTTCGCGGCTTTCGTTTTATATTCGCTGGATGCATTGATGCGTCTTGCAATGAAGTTTGTGCGGGAAAACAGTCATCTCCAGTCCACCAGCATACACACGGCCCCTTTCGCTTTGCTTTCTTTTAAAAACTTGACAATACGTGCTTGCACAGGCTTGTTTATCTGGGAAGTTTATTATATGATATGCATGGGCTGTGCCTATCTGTCACGGCTGCCTCGGATCTGGCTTTCTTATTAGCGCTGCTTCTCCAGACCCGCGCAGTTTTACACCTCAAGTTCGCACTCTACTAGCAACAATACGCCAGCTTTGATCACTTTTAGGAGCAGGATAGAAGCTATACATTTGACTGATGATGCGGAAAGCATCATGCAGGACCATACCGATAACGATGATGGTAAAAGTGTCCGACCAATTCCGCTGGATGAAGGTGGCCTGATCGAAGCATACCTACCTAGGTACCTAAATATCGAAATGTCGATAGCACCTCATACAGTGCAAAAAAAAAAAAATTCAACAAGTCTGCGGCCTACATTAAGACAAAAACATGCAAAGTAGATAACCTAACCTTAATGTAGTCTCTCTGGGGTGTTCAGTCTTTATTCTGAATAAGGTGATCATGTCTCGAAGCCTAAGAATTCGCTCATCAAGTTGTCGTTCATGGTACTGCGGTAACGCGACACGGACGAGCGACTCACAACTTCCGAAATCCATATGCACCCATCCAAGCGGGTCCCCTCGAAAGGAGAAGTATCGTCAACACAAGAGCTGCGATGACGCAGAGCGAAGACGAGCTACTCAGGCCTCCCGCAGTACATCACCATTTCATACTCGAAGGTACTCCTCAACTCCAATGAGAGAGGGGTCGCAATCATCAGACTCTGTCCATCGCTTCCTCAAACCCTACAACTGCATTCACCCCATTTTGGCACCACGGCCGGGACGACGCATATCCTAAAACCGGCTGTATAGCTGCCACCTTTACAAAGGGAGCTTGGGGGGCTTCTGCACATTGATGTCGGTGCGGTCAAAGAACACAACTGAGGAGGGAGGCTACGGTGCCGGCAGGGGCTTCTACACATTGATGTCGGTGCGGTCGAAGAGACACAACCAAGGAGGGAGGTTCGACACCGGCGGGAGCTTCTGCACATTGATGGCGGTGCGGTCGAAGAACATAAGCGATGAGGGGGGCTACGGTGCTGCCGGGGGCTTCTGCACATTGATGGCGGAGCGTTCGAAGGAACACAATCCAGGAGGGAGGCTGCGGCGCCCGCCGGGGGCTTCTGCACATTGATGGCGGTGCGTTCGAAGGAACACAATCGAGGAGGAGGGAGGCTGCGGCGCCTGCCGGGGGCTTCTGCACATTGATCTTCTGGGCAAGGGGAGAAACGAACACCAGCGAGAGCTCGTTGAGGACGGACATAACGGAGACTGGGCGCTTGGTCTTCGTGGCGAGCATGACAGGGTTCTACGAGCTTAACCCATTCGAGTTGGACCTACCCGGTCGACAACCACAGCACTGCGGTGACACGCTAGACCCCTAACAAACAACCTCAAAGCGATCACTGGCGACTTTCCTGCTGTACACTATTCAGGCAAGAGAAACTATGTAACACCAACCCCCGTCCCTCTCAAAGGACAAGGTCGCGTAGAGCCTACGTCAACGTTAGATTGCCTACTTTGTAAAGTGTTGCTTCAACGTATTCTGCAGCCCTGTTTAAGTTTTACCTTACAATGAGATCTGCATGTGCTCACAGCATGTGCGCGTCTTTGGTACGAGGTGTCTTCTCTCTAATAATAAGAGGGGGCTCATCGTGCGGCACTGGGGCCTTTTCAAAATTCGATTCGTCAATGAAGACTTTCCTCACGATACAAACTAGACTAGCAGGCTTCCTCGTTTGCATACAAAAGATTGTTGCTTTGTTGAACGTCTGGTGCATGAATGGGGCACAACGCAGTGAAGTAACACACTATATAATCGCAGCGCAGGTGTATCTCCTAAACACTTTACTTTACAGTATGCAGCAGTATATACTCTTCTAAATGTTCTAGTATTTAAAACTAAGCTGTGGAGTTCGGTGCGTGCAACTACAAAAGGGTATACCGTAGAGGTTTGACGATGCCTGGAAGATTTTCAGCGTACGCTACGATGCGCGATCGTGAATGTCTTTCACTTCAGTTGCATTTCACTCATCACCGCTATCGCAACCACGCTGGACAATGTATCGCAGTGCCCGGTGGCTGTCTCCAATAGGTGCGTGCACTTGCGCCGACCGACTGAGTAGCTGTGGTTCTGCCACTCCCCTAGCCTATATAAACCCCCGATCCCTCGACTCAACACCTCAACACCGCACTGCTTTACACTACTCCGCTCAACCAGAACTTCCATCAAACTCCATCAAAAGTCACCTGAGCCTCATTCTTAAGCAAACGTTAGCAATCACAAAGATGGGAGGCAAGAATAAGAAGAAGGGTGCCTCCGGCGCCGATGGGGTGGCCAGTTCGAGCAAGAAAAAGAAGGGACGGGGCGGCATGAGCGACAAGCAAGAAGAGAACAGGACCAGAACCTTAGAGGACCTTAACTCTTCCTCAGCTTGGGATCGAGATGATGCCGAAGACGATGCGACACGCGAACCGGATGACGTTGCCGAAACTTCCGAAGAGCCCATCGATTCCACTCCGACCATAGAACAGGCACAGGATATAACTGAAACTGAGCCAGTCAAGAACGACGACCCGCAGGACGAGCTTCCACAGCAAGAGCCGGATGTCGCGGAGACTGAGATACCTTGGACGGCGACGCCGTCAACGCGAAAGAAGAAGGCAGACAACAGATCAGACGCTGGAGATGTCTCCAATGATACCCTTTCTAGCATCGAAGCCCCTACTGACTCATGGTCTTTTGGTGAGAAAGGCGTCACCGATGATGCGAAGTCTCAAGATACTGGACAGCTCCAAGATGCTACAAACTTTCATGAGGATCTCGGCGATAAGCTCAAGCATCTTTCGCTCGAAACACAGACGTTACAAGAAGACGTGAAAGTAACAGATGGCAAAGAGAAGCACGATACGATCGTTGCAGCTGATAACGCTGTGCGCCGGCCAAAGGTCGAGAATGAAGCAGCACTTGGAAATTCTAGCGACGAGTCATCAGCTCCTCTCGAAGCTCATCGGGCGCTGTCACCGTCGCCTCTTAAAGAACAGCTTGGAGAAACCCGTGAGCCTACTGAAGATCAGGGAAACAAAGTACAAGCGTTGACCGAATTGCCTCAAAAGCCGAAGCCCAACGATGGACTTGCACCGCCTACTCAGGAAATGGTGAAGCAGCCTGCGACTGCGCGACCCCTTTCTGATAAGCCACAACTGCCGAGCAAACCTCATTCCTCTGCTCAGGTTCAACACACCCAAACACCACCACCGGCACAGTTGCAGCAGTCTCCCAAGTCCAAGCCACCCACTCAGGTTCAACATACCCAGACACTACTGGCACAGCCTGTCAAGGCCAAGACTGTCATTCAGGCTCAAACACAATTGCCGGCACAGCCACAACAGTCTAACAAGTCTAAAACTTCTGTTCAAGCTCAAGGTACCCAGACAGAACCAGGGACACCTCCGCTGCCCCCAGTCGAGCCTAAGAACCCCACCCAGGACAAAGGCACCCAAACAGAAATATGGACACCTCCACGGCCTCCGGTCAAGCCCAGAGCTCCTACCCGAGACCAGGGCACGCAGACAGAGCCATGGATTGAGCCAGAGCCGCCGGCCAAAACCGAAACTATCACCCGCAACCAAGGCGCCCAGACACAAGTTTCGTCTTCGTCAGCCCCAGAGCCAAAGTCTCATGGTAGGGCGAAGCCACCTCTTCGAGGGATCTTGAAAAAGTCTACCGCTTCGCCCTCAGCTTCCACTGGGCCGCAGAACCAAGAAATCGAGATCCCCCATGGCCGGCGAGCACCACGACCTTTCAATTCCGCCACGCCATCAGCTTCCACCGGGCCGCAGGATCAGAGAAGCGGCTTTCCCTATGGTCGGCCAGCACCGCTGTCTAACGGTCTCGCACTATCTATTCAGAACCGGCGATCGTTGGAACCAGAGCGGAACAACCATGACACGGCTAGGTCGACTTATGGCTCAGCAAGCGGAACACCACTCGGAAGATCCAACGTGCCTGCAACGCCTCCGGTTCGACCAACTCCAGATCAACGCAGATCACCTCGACCAATCCTAATCCAAGCGGACCCTGATTTAGTTGTAGAGCTGGTTGTAAATCACCAGTATGACAGGTCCGCAATAGCTTACCAACACACCCTGGCGAGGAACACGGATTACTTCATTGAACCTGGAAACTTATACCCAGCTTCTGGAAAAGTGAGGACCCACTTCGTGGGCGAACAATTCTCCAGCCGAGTGGTCAAAGAATACGTGGAGTGGCTAGGTCGTGGTAGGCTTCCTACCATGGCTTCCCTTGGTCGACTCACTCCTTCTACCGCTGACGAGGTTCTCATGTTCTTGGCTCGCGCATACGTTTTTGGCGAGCGGATCGACGACAGGGCTTGGATGAACGATGTCATGGATTGCTTTACCTATGTGCATATCCATGATTGGCGCCTCGAGCTGGACGATGTCATCTTATTCACGTGTAAGTTTTCGGTTTCTCATTCACGGCTACGTACGCTTTTGGCGGATATGTTCGCGTACCTTCTCCCTAACCCTGAGCAATTGCTGTCTCAGGATGGCATTCCACTAGTGCAGGAATTGAGGGACCTGCCGTCAGCATTCTATCGCGCTGTACGATGCGAGATGACGCAGAGGACAAATTGTACGCCCTCGTGCTGGCGCGCCCGTCTCGACCACCCATCGCATTACTATATTGATGAAGAGGGAGAGGGTGGGCGTTCATGGAGACAAGCGCCTGATTGTGGGCATGGCGAGGCTACATCGATGAGGTGAAATGTCATGTTTTGGAATTTTCAGGGTAGGACAAGTACCTTGTAGTGTGTAAGAGCAGCTGTAATGGAAGCATGAAACGGAATACCATCTGCTCGTTCTTTCGGTTTCTATATGTGATCCCTTGGTCCCGCGAAGTATGTATCGGGACACAGAAATCTTAATGAATGCCGCCATTGAATGTGCAATGCATACGAGACATACATCACATCCTTTCTTGGGTGGAGGGGTTAGAAGAGTTCACTCCGCTTCCGCTCTACATTGTCCGGGGAGACCACGAACATCAGTCGCCGTACTTTCCCCCAGATGAACAGGTAAGAGGGGATGTGGAGACCCCACGTTTCTGTCTTGTACTGGAACTGAGCTGATGAGTGATCGAAAGACGTAGTGACGTCGTGCGTGATAACGGAAAAATGACAGGTCGGCGGTTAGAATTACTGTCCCTTCAGTAGCGCGGCCCACTCGTCGGCGACTCTTTCCTTCCGACGCTGATCGGGGTTAGTCCAGCACCTAGCTTCCACTAATCTTCGCTTGAAGCAGGAATTCCCGCCGCGACCTCCACTTTCGCCGGCAGCTTTTCCCTTGAGATGGTCAGCTTTGAAAGGACGTTTACCCAACTGGACGACTGCACAGCGCGGAACGACGCGAGCCTAATTTTGGGGAATCCGGGGTAGCACTGGCACGCTCGCGCGCGTTTTCTGGGGTCTCCGAGCACCCCATACGGTCACCGCGGCCTTTGAAGATGCGGAGAAAGGCGTATGACGCCGGCAGCAGGGGTTTTGAAGGTTTGCGGAGCCAATGCCAGCCTCTCAGAAGCAAATTCGGAGACCAATGTCACGCGATCTAATTTCAAGATTAGCATCAAGACGTTCATCATGCAATTGCTACTGATTCTCACGATCCGTAGCAGAGCAGCTCGGTCAGTCTCGGACGCAAGGGTCCCACAGAAACTTCGAGCGAATCTTCCGATCCAAGCGGCGTAGCCTCAACAGCACAAACCCCACATGCGCACACCGCGCTGGCATCTCAAGTCACCCACAAACCTAATAGACAGAAGGTCGCAAGAGGCAGGTGTGAAGCTGAGCTAACGTGGAGCCGCTTCAGAAAACGCCGGCCGTGGTCGTTCCTAGCATTCCCTCCACACTCCTTGGCGTTCGTTCTGGGAAGTCATCGGATGTGCGCTTAACGGCAGTCAGACGCCTGACACTAGCGTTGGCAGATACTGTACATGGTGTGGACCCACCGGACAAGAGTTAACGCGGCATCAAGCGAGATATCGAAAGTGCATAAAGCGGTCGATTGCCTCCTCGCATTCACTACTCCCTCCTAGCCAGGCCATCCACTACACAGGCGATTTCAACAAGGCACGACCCATATCACTGCACGTCATCATGGGCGGACAAGATTCGATCAAGAGCGCCCCTTATGAGCAGCGCGAGGCAATGTCTCCGTTCCCTAGCAAACAGGGAACGGTGACTCGGGAGCCTTACGGACCAGCAGGTATGCATATCACTTTGTGGAACCTCAATCACACGTGGGCTAATCCCAGAGCCAGGTTTCCGCGGCCTCTTCTCCAACCCTTACGTTGCCATGTGTGCAGCCTTTGCTACGATTGGAGGTCTTCTCTTTGGATACGATCAGGGTGTTATTTCCGTAACGCTCGTCATGGATCAATTCCTCGACCGGTTTCCGCGTGTCTCGAGTGAAGCTTCAGGAGCTGGTTTCTGGAAGGGCCTGATGACTGCTATGCTGGAACTGGGCGCACTGATCGGTGCCCTTTTTGCCGGCTGGATTGCAGACAAACTCTCCAGGAAGTATTCCATCGTCGTCGCAGTCGTCATCTTCACGATCGGAAGCATTCTACAAACAGCAGCAATGGACTACGCCATGTTGACTGTCGGACGTTTGATCGGAGGATGGGGAATTGGAGCGTATGTTGAGCCATGTTTGTACACGGGATAGATGCTAACCACGCGTAGTCTTGCAACTATCGCCCCACTCTACATCTCTGAGATTGCGCCACCGGAGATCCGCGGTGCTCTTCTCGTCTTGCAGGAGTTCAGCATCGTCCTCGGCATCGTGATCGCCTTTTGGACAACCTATGGTACACGCTTCATGGCCGGCGAATGGTCATGGCGTCTTCCGTTCCTTATCCAGATGATTCCTGGTCTTATTCTGGGTGCTGGCATTGTTTTCCTGCCCTTCTCTCCAAGATGGCTCGCCAGCAAAGGCCGCGACGACGAAGCCCTAGTCGTCCTGGGCAAGCTCCGCAAGCTTCCCACTGACGACCCACGCATCTTCCAAGAATGGTGCGAAATCCGCGCAGAAGTTACCTTCAACCACGAAGTGAGCGTTGAGAGGCACCCTGAGTTACAGGCCAAAACTCGCACGAACGAGTTCAAGCTTGAGGTTCAGTCTTGGCTCGACTGCTTTAGACATGGATGCTGGAAGCGCACTGTCGTTGGAGTTGGCATCATGTTCTTCCAGCAGTTTGTTGGTATGTTCCTCCTTACCCCGACGCGAGAAAATACTAACACGACTCTAGGTATCAATGCGTTGATCTACTATTCACCCTCTCTTTTCGAAACACTAGGCCAGGACTACGAGATGCAGCTTCTACTTTCCGGCATCATCAACTGCACGCAGCTCGTTGGTGTCGCAACAAGTCTATGGACCATGGATCGCTTCGGGCGCCGGCCACTACTCCTCACCGGTGCTGCTCTCATGTTTATCTGCCATCTCATCATCGCTGTCTTGGTTGGCAAGTTTGGTGGACGATGGCTGGACTTTGCAGTAGAAGGCTGGGTTGCCGTTGCCTTCCTATTCTTCTACATGTTCAGCTTCGGTGCTACTTGGGGTCCCGTCCCATGGGCTATGCCTTCGGAAATCTTCCCATCTTCCTTGCGAGCAAAGGGCGTTGCACTCTCAACGTGCTCCAACTGGTTCAACAACTTCATCATCGTAAGTCTTCCCTTCGTCTTTACTGTCTGTGACTAGCGACTGACCTGTATACCAGGGGTTGATTACTCCTCCTCTTGTTCAAAACACCGGCTACGGAGCCTACACCTTCTTCGCCGTCTTTTGTGGACTCGCCTTTGTTTTCACATTCTTCGTAGTCCCGGAAACATCTGGTAAGACTTTGGAGGAGATGGACCAGGTTTTCAAGGATGTCAGCAGTGAGGCGGAAGAGCAACAGAAGGCGCGCATCATGCGCGACATCATCGCAGGCAAACAAAACGAGACTGTCACCACAACCGCAGTCCCTTGAAGCAGGACAATTGCTCAGCAAGGAGGCCAGTAGATTTTGTAATTAGCGAGACAATTATTCAGTTTATTCTTCTCACGGCTTCGCGCACTACGATTGAAATTTGAATGATACAATCGATCGAATGATCGGGCCTTCGATGCGCAATTTCATGGTGCACGATGAGCGGGTCGCTCCCGCTCGCCTCCGGTGAAAGACGTTGTGTACATGCGACGTACGTGCAACGCAAACTTCTTGGCTAGCTACCCCGTATCATGGTGATCGTTTGATTGCGTATCGTATTGTAACGATGACCACGCAACGTCGCGATGGATGTAAAGATGCGATTCGATTGCGCCCGGTTTGCCTACTTGAGAATACGAATTTCCGTCCGACGAGATCTGGTAATGGATATCTAGACGTTGTGATCAGCGTTACATATTAGGGGAAATGTAGTGCACATCAAAGACATGCTTTAGCATATGCATCTCATGCTAGTTGCGAAAGAGATGTTTGTCAGGAGCAATCTTGTATTTGACGCCTGAAGCCATATGCTGCCTACCTAGGTAGGTACGCCAAAGCTGAGCTGCTTTCAAAAGCATCGCGTAAAGAACACCTGGAATGTAAAAGCGCACGTCACCAGATTGCCAGGTGTACGCGTGCGTTGCTGTTCAAACATCTCGCCGAGTTGTGCGTCGAGCTCCATACTCCCTGTGACGTAAGAAGATTGCCTTCAAAAGGAGCTCCGCGGGAGAGAGCGCATCACCGCTCTGCCCCAGAAAACAAGTACGGCATTGCCATCTTCTACTTTCCAACCGTCAACGCCCCGTTTTTCCGTCATCGTGCTCGTGCCATCATTTCACTCCAAGATCCTCAATGGCCGATTATCTCCACGTTCTGCGCCAAAATGCGAGGTTTCCCATCGCCAAACTTTTGCAACTGGGCCGTCAGGGTTTCCCAACTTTCGCCCCGCGCCACCCTTCCCAGTACAGCATCATGACCCGACTGGCTCCAAGGCCGCGATAGTTCTGTAGAACTGCGTGTTGGTTGTCCCAGCACCGATTCCAATGCAAGGTGTGCATAACACACGGCCTCGTTCGCATCGCCTGGTATGCCTATATCGTCGAATGGCTTTGTGATCACGCTCTCGGGGAGCTCCGCTTCGAGGTAGTCTATGATGTTCGCGTTGCGCGCACTCGGGCCGCTGATGAAGAGTTCGTCGACGTCCTGGCCGGCAGGAAAGCGGAGCGCGAGGAGCCTGCGATACTGCTTCAAGATATTCTCGGCCGTTATACGGGTAACGGTAGCGATTATGTCTGCTTCAGAGAGTTTCATGAAGATGCACTCATCAACGACTCGTTGGGCTTCATGTTCACCAAACATATCCCGGGCTATGCTTAAAGAAGGCAAGACGCGAGAGTAATCGTGCGTCTGGAGGAACCGTGTGACGATAGCTTGATTGGGCTTCCCCGGCGCTGCATACTCCCCGTCGTTGTCATTGTTCCGATCGTTTGAAGTGCAGTACTTCATGGCGTAGTCAATGAACACGCTTCCAGGCCCGCAGTCGCGACAATTTGTCCCTCGAGCATCTCCCTTCGACCGAGGAGGAATGAAGCTACAATTCGCAAGCTCGCCAATGTTCACACAAGCTCGAAACTTGGAAGAGTGTCTCAAGAAGAGTTGATCAATGTAGGCGACGGGGGAAACTTGAGGTCTCAAAGACCCAGCTTCAATGACAGCAAAGTCGAAGACAGTGTTGACACCAATCTCAGTGTTTATATTGGCGTTCCATCCCAGCGGGTGCGTGCTCAGGTCGTTTGTTTCAGGCATGTCAGGTCGCCTCAAGCCCGATGTGTGTGTGCCGACCAGGTTTATGGATGCGAGTGGTATGCAATGCTTCTCACAGAAAGTGGTAATGCCATTGGAGAACAAGTAACCGAGCAGCGCGTTGAGGCGTGTCGCTAGTGAGGAGTTGCGCTCAACTTCGCGGATGGAAGTGAGGATGTGGTTTCGAACAGGAGGTGAGGTAGGTAGCGAACCGCACTATCGTTCGTCAGCATTTGCAGGGCGACAGTATGAACAACACTAACTTGGATGAGTTCTAGATACAGCGTAGCACTAGGGGAGGCTTGCAGATACCGGACCAGCGCGAAGTCAAGCTGGTTTAACCCACTTCCGCAACAGACCCCTAGAATGCGGAGGTCCAATGCACTCTTCATGGTCTCTCTCGTATGAACCTGTAGGCTTCCATGGTCTGTTGCTGAGTCGTTGCGACGCATACTAAGCTTGACTGTTGTTCAATCAAGAAGTACACATGAGTGCTTCACATCCGGAGGCGAAGATTATCAAATGGTAGAGGCCCGGAGGTACCTAGGCAAGGGGGGACTTGTCCAGTGGCGTCCGACTGAGGCGTCACCCAAGGCATCTCGGGTTATCGCCCCATAAGGGGCTTTGCAGAGAGGAATGCATGCTAAAGGTACGCTGTGGGGTGGATGGGTATCCGTGTCGCGCTATGCAGATCTCAACGGACCCGATGAGGACTTGATGTACCAAGACTCCCGTGACCGGGCTCTGGCACCTCGTTACGACTTACGCGAAGGGATTGGCCCGGGACAGATATCCGGCCGTGAAATGACGTAGCTGCTCAACGGTCATCCCTTCAACATATCAAGTCAGCAACCAGGCACATGCTAATCAACTTCGCACGGGAAGATGCGCTTTGTGTTCTTCATTGCCGGTCTGCTACATACCTAGCAATTGATGGAATGCAGGTATAACGCGTTGTACAAGGCCATATGCATCACAGTAATATCTAGGTGATACTCACGTAGCGCTCCCAGACGTGCAATAAGCGACCGCAGCTGCCGGATATCGGTGCTTTGTTGCGAGGCTTTCGGATGCAAAAAGAGCTTCTCGTCTTGGCTTCAGCCAGCTGCCTTACGGTCAAACTGGTGGTGGCATGTGGGACGAAATGCAAGCATCTGTTGAATATCCAAGATCGACAAGACGCGTACTATGGCAAACAGTACGATTTATGATACTACAAGGGGTGCTCTAGCAAGGTTTCAACACAGGTATCGTGATCAAGCGCGTAATCACGGTAACTCAGGCAGCAGCGTACGAAACGGGTAGTTTAGTGATCTAGATGTGCTGCGCCACACACGACTTTCAGCTTGCTTCACTAACAGATTCCACATCCTTCTGGCCACCGGCCACGGGACATGCGTACAGCTCAGGCAATCTTCGGTGAACCGAGCCGAACAATGCAGCCCTGGATGTGAGATTATCTGAAAGAATTCATTGGGGCGAATGATTGCACGTGAAAACAGAGATCAGCACACGAGAAAGTACTATTTCCAAGAGAGGCATTGTTACTGTATAGTAAGATGTAGCTGTGACATTATATGGATTCCACTCGGAGTTGTTACCCGAGCTCCCAATCCTCGGAAGGTATATCTTCCCGGATTGCACAAGTTCGGTTGACTGCTGGAAGCTCCCGGGTTGAGAGACATCCATGTTCTCGCATGATAATGGGAGTTCTGCGTCGAGTTCTAGAGCTACATGAAGGGGACAAAGTGACGGGATACAGGCAGCTGACCATGGCGTCCAAAGCTGGTATGGATTATACCAGAATGATTCGCGGGTATGACTTAGACACGACGGTACTGGCTTCCAGACACTGAGCGCTTTGTTTTGCACAATAAATGTCTTGTATGGGTTTCATCATCTTTCACATCCACCTTCTTCTTGTGGTCCTATTCCACAACCGACCCAAGCTGGTTTTGGGTAGGCCAAGAGTCAATGCCGGCTCGAGTTTCTACTTCATGAGCTAAGCCACAGGAGCTGACGATGTTGGGATACCCCATTCGGCCTTCAATGCGTTACTGATCCACGTCGTCGGCCACACATGGTTTTTCTCGAAGTTGTTTAAAAGCTGTACTACCTGATCTCTCTCTTTTGGGTCGCATACAAGAGGTCCCCAGATAAAGATGGTGTGACAGACGGTGATTGCTAGTGGGACAGTCTCCGGTGAGCTATTACTAGCCCCGGAAATGGCGCGAGCATGCGTCAAGATCTGATTCTACTTCAATAAGCAAATGTTCGTGCTGTTTGGTAACTTTGGTCCTTACATCTGTTTCAGACAGGCTGCCGACGTTGCGGATTGCGAACTTGGGGCCTGGCTTGTATCGAAGCAACATGATACAGGCAAAATGATAGAACCCAAACGATACAGCTGATGGTAGTGTGAGCATTTGCGTGGAAGGACATGTTAGATAACTTACCGTGCCAGTCGGCTGTGAAGAGAATCTCAGGAAAGCAGCCCCCATCGCCGGCTGGGCCTTCGAAAATTGCATTGAAGCCGTCCGGTCTACCATGCATCCACGTCTGGACAAGATCCCACAGCTCGTTCCATCGCCGCATCTTGTAAGCCTTTTCGTTTTGTGGCTCCTTGCCGTCGAAGCAGAAGTTGACGACACATGCAAGATTCCAAGTCATTTGATTGGACCAGGCCGTCTCCAGTCTTAGTCGAGCCAGCGGGTGCGCATCTCGTAGTGAGCTTGGGGTTGGGTGTAGCTGCAAAGAAAAATCGATATCAGGGGGTTGCTGATTGATAGTGGCATTGTAGAGGCACTGGCGGACATAGACCCAAAAAGCAGCTTCGCGCAACGTGGGCGCTGATGGATCTACATAGTGATTTCCCTGAGAAGATCGAATAATGGCCGAACAGCCTGCGAGGTGCTGTTCATCATCAGAACCGGTACTGGACGGGACTAGAAGGACTTGTTAGGCATGAGAGACGCAATGCATACTATAGTACGCACCATTTAGCTGCTCGTAGAACCGCAGTATGACGATCGCACACAAAAGCGTTTCGTCGTGGCTAGCAGCTTGCTCATTCAATCGTTCGATGAGCAGGGCGATGCAACGCTGATAGGCCGCCTCGGCTGTCGCGTCTTTTCTGCAGTGGCGAGCAGCAAATGACATGACGGCATGGCAAAGTACCGGGCATTGTTTGACCTTCTCCGGTACGCCCAGCGTAAATTGACGAGTGGCGTCGGTGCAGTCAAGCCAGCGGCCAAGATGTTCGGTGTAGTGGTGCACGAGCAAGGCCTCTTCATGCGTCAAAGGAACAGGCCGGGGTGAGTAGTTTCTAGTTCCATCTGGCATGTCTCTACGGTTATGCGAATGCGCATTCGGCTGCTGCATGGCCTGGCGGGTATGCATCGGCAGCGAGCCCTCTGGCATGCCGTCCGGGTCGTGCGACTGCAGCAAACTCGCCACCGACACGCCACCCGTTGTGCTCTTAGATCGGGGAACAAAGTAAGGCGAGCCTGGCGATAGCTGAGCCGACGGTGAGGAGACGCTGGTCGATGGGCCTTCCGATGTCCCATCGGTCCGACTGTTTTTCCGCCTTCTCGGTGAAGTGTTCCGGCTCAAGCCTTCCTCGCTGAAACTGTTTGCACGAACGGCTCCTTCTGTTCGACTGATGTTATCGACCCCATCGACACCGTCAACATCCATCAGGTCCTCTTTGGTCTCGGTTTCCTCATCAGTACCGCCGGCAGCAGATCGACTGGAAGAGGGCCCGTCAGGCCGGTAGTCCTTGAACTTAGTATGAGGCTCCTCCCACTGACAGGGACGGTTTTTCTTGCCGCATGCTTTGCATACTGGACGGGTCTCGTCACCTGGGAGGACTATCAGTACGGCAAGGAGTGCCTGGAAGCAGGACACTGACATTTGACGCGGCGCGCTCGACATGTAAGGCTTGTGCAGATCAGCGGACTTTGTCGCCGCAACCTCATGGATCCACTTACCAGCCGCTCCTAGAGCGGAATTTACTGTATGAAGTCAGTAATACGTTTCATGTGTAGGCTGGGAACCGGAGTTACCCCATGTATAGGAAATCCAAATCCCAGGTTCGAATCGAAGTGTACCTGTCGCCGTATTAGCTAGTGGGGATGTGCCCTTCGCCTCGAGCCCGATCCCTCGACGATGGCGCTCGTCATGAATCGACAAAATGGCTAATATCGGAAGTGCGTACCACAACTACGTAATTGTGTCGTTTCAGGGACCCTTCGGACGACTTCTGGAGTTTGCGCGTAGCCTTTACCGAAGCAGTGACATCTGTAGGATCCTCTCGGCAATCTTGGACAGAAATCAAGAGCGCTCAAGCAGGGCACGTGGAAGCGAGGCAGGTGTGGGCTAGATATGCTACGGAGTCGCAGGCTGTTCAACTCTCCGACGTAGTCTTGATAACATTAGTCATTTGCCAGAGTATATGCTTTACCCTCTGACGCGCTGAAAAGGGGAGTTGAGCGTATAACTCACCCGTCGAAAACGTTCGATGGCCGGTCTGTCGGTCGATGCTGGGTGGATCGGGGTGCAACGTCACGCTGTTGCTCATAGACTAGACTGTGTATTGAAGATACGGCATTCGTGCAAAGCCCATGACTGCCTCGATGAAGGCCAATCTTCGATACTGGACCTCACCCGCTCAATGCTGGTGGCCCTTGCTAGGTGAAAGTTGGCTGCGGGAAAAGATCCCGCAGCCAGTCAGAGCCCGTAGAAGGGCGGCGCTCGGATCCCAAACCCTCTCCAGGTGCTTAGGTAAGTGGGTATCGGGTGCTGAGACTTTGCTATGCACCCAGTGTCTTGTGTGCCCCGTACGCAGGGCCGCATCTGCCCAAAGATCTCGAGGATCAGCCCAGTCCCGCCAGTCTATCGGTCAAATACTCTGACAACTGGCCGCCGGATGTGATTCTAGTCCAAAAAGACTGATTCGTATCGAGGTCTCGAGCAGGTCAAATAGCTACCTGAGGAAGCTCATCAGCACGAAGGCTGCTGTATTTCTTGAACTACCAGTACTACTCTTCAGCTGTACTGGGTCGCGATCCACAGCAAGCGCAGACTGCATCCGCATCGGGGCTGCTGACCTACCTCTCGAACTGCATCGCCAAGAGTTGCTCAGATTAGCATAGTTCAGAACCTCGTTTCGACGTTGGAAACCAGAGCCTTCGCACCCTGACGAGACTGCCATCCTCAACGCTCGTGTTGTCTTGCCGTCCACGCGTGCGCCCACGAACTCCCCGATCACACGAATCCGTCCTAGCCGAGACCATCCACACACCCTGCCCGCTGGCAACACTCCTTAGCCGTACCTGCAATGACCAACTATCGCAAGCACCGGGCCAGACGTGGCACCCAACGAATTTCCGAGAGAGAACAGCCGGACCATACACTCAAGACCGACTGACAGGAGTTCCGCAAGCAGTGAAAGCGTGCGACACCACAGTAACACTGCTTAGCGTGAGCTTCGCAGGCCGAGAATACGTACGAATCTCGACGGTGAACCGAATGCATGAAATGTGGGCGGATCCCTTGGTAGAGGACCCTGTACCGTTGAGCCTTTGCAGTTGCGTCCCCGCACACTCAGAAATGACTTGGAAACCCCGGAGCCGGATCATGGAGCGCGCGGAAGGTGAGATGCCAGCAAAGGTGCCAGCTCAGGCCGAGCCTGATAATGGAGATTCGGCATCGCAGCCACATTTCACAAGCGCAGGCGCCATCCAGCTGATATTTCCTATTATCTCACGGTCACAGATTTGCTTCTGCACTTCATCTGCGGACGCCACCGGCGCGATCTGGACACCCGCTGTCGTCGAGGGTCCCAAGTTCCTATGAGCACCTTTCAAAGCCAGATTCGCCAACTGCGTACCACGGCTTACGAGCAGCAGTCCACCGACTGACGAAACGGCAGCAACTTCACGAACACTGAACCGTCGCGATCGTACCCATTCTTAGAACCCGATTCACGTACACGGCCGAATTCGATCTGCAGGATTACCATGTAAAAAGCCTACAGATCCTTGTTTGGTGACCGCGCTTGCATATTGTAGGTGTTAGCATACATCGCATCAGAAGATTCAGAACACGGCGGACGAGAGACATACCGACAAGCGCCATTGCCGTTCCTGCCTATAAATGATTTGCAGACAGTCGATTCGTGATCGATGTTCATTGTGGCTGACGGCAAAAACACGCCAGCAGCTTCGTTGGGTGCGTTCAGTCGAAAAAGACGTAGCCAGGTATAATTAGAACACCTGCGGAGAGAGGTTCGTAGGGGACTTTGTGTCAGGAACGGAGTAGGGAAAAAACTAAGGCGGCCGAATACAGCGCTACAAGCATAGCATATGCTCTGCAAGATTTTGAGCGCGTTACGTGTCTACGTAAGACTACATGCAGCTCATCGATCGCACGGCAGTAGACCATACACTGGTGCGGAAGGATCGGATTCTCTTTGCAAGATCGGGTTTTAGCGAAACCGCATGGACCATGATGGCATTTCTTAGCCACCACGCAGGCAGCCTTACACAACCGCTCGATACGCCCACTTATATCCACAAGAGACTTTCGAAGACTGGCATGCGATGAACGGAGACGAATGCTTCGGGGCGAGATTGGTCCAGCGAAAGCATGCTCCGCGGACCAGTCGGTCCTACCACTGCCTCGCGCTAAGTACCACCCTGTGGTTTGTCAGTGGGGATAACTCCCCCGCGGGCCTCTTGCCACATGGATCCAGAGTATCGGATCAGCTCAAGTAGGTATGGCTGATCATAGCCTAAACGTAAATTCAACGTCCACCCATCAAGAGCAGATGAAGGGACGAGCGCTCATGTGAGGAGAAACTTTACAGCATCATACACGGACATTATTGCATCAGGGTGTGATCATCAGGGGACAGCAGAACCCATGTTGTAGTCTTTGGCGCTTAAAACGCGTTTTGTCGCGTGGATAGGCAGGCTTGTACGATTGTGGAAGCATTGGCAACGGCAACGTGAGCGTCAAGACCCGCTTGCCATGTGATTGTAATCCGCGACTGCACGTTGGGGTATGTTCTACACGCACAAAGTATTGTTTGCAGCAGTGTCATACTCCAGACTACTAATGATCAGCCAGTGTGCATGTGACGATGCGCCGATGAAGCCCAACCCTGCGGCTCAACTTCCCTCAACGGTCGCTCGCCTTTCCAATCAACGCCGCAGCGCGATAAGAAGATGCAACAGTCATGGCAGCTATCGAAAATATATGGGGAGGCTTCTTAGCCCTAAGCCATAACAGTTCCGTGATCATTTGACGGCCTAAGCGATGTATCGACGGGTGACCAGAGGCGTGAAGACTCGCAAGTCATTTGGTTAGTCCATTAGTCCTCAAGCAAGTATACTCTGTCAAGTCTGTCTTCCTTTGTCGTTCTCTTTCACCTTCACATTTCGACCCCCGCGTTCCACACCTCGAGTAGTACCCTAGAACGGGGATACTTGGGCCAATTACGAGACCGCACCCGCGCGCTCGCACACCGGCTCACTGCACCGAGTGACCACAGCAAACACGTTCTATCCTCGGCGGGTCCTCACCTCACTTTCCTCAGTCACGCTCACGCTCCGTTTGCATTGATCCGCTCCGGCCTGTGCTTCCCTTTTGTTTATTTCTTCTATTCT